AATATAAATGATCACGTTTATCAAAGTTTAAGTAATAATTCAATCATTAAGTTTTATGTTATTTAGTTTTCAAAATTTTATTTACAAATTTAATCTTTATAGCATTCTCTAACTATAATGCATTGTAAAAAGAAATAAATTCACACCTGTTCACACTAGATAGTCGCATATACATGACTTTGCAAAAGCCCTAAATCAAGTACAAGGTAAATTGAGATCGAAATGTAGATAGTTTAGTCAACCCTTTGAGTTGTTCACCCTTTCTTGGCATTATTCATCTAGGACAACAATTGATTTCAGACCTTTAGAACAAGGGCCTATGGCCATGAGCCCTAGCCGTGTCACTTTAAAACGTCTCATTTTCATATAATATAAAAATGGAGTTGGACTAACTTCACACAACTTTAATATCGAATTCGACATTCATAAAAGTTAAGCTTAAGACCTCATACACTTACTAGCAAGTTGAAAATTATATAACTATACCTAGGGACCATATCGAGACATTAAACAATAATTAAATTGTATTAGATTGTTCATCAACTCTAATCTGAAAAATTAATGCATAAAGGAAAATTGATAAAACTCCACAATGTTCTTGATGCAATTCATTTTTTTCCCACTTGATGCATGCTTCTTAAACTAAGAGCCATCCCTGACAACAATTTTTAAACATTCATAAAACATAATACGCGTGAATTGAATCGATTGATCAAGATAGCATTTTCATCTTCTTGCACTCGACATCAAAATACATTACCAAAGTTACCTATAAATTAAATTAAAATTGTCCCTTTTAATCTCATCTACAACTTTCGGGCCCCACTTATAAAGTTGTAATAATCAAATGTTTTATTCATGAATTTTATATTTTTAGTGGTAGGAGGATATGTGAGTTGAGTGTTCTATTTTATGAATATGAATTTGACTACTATACTTACATTGTTAGACGAGTTGTACAACTTAAAGGTTTTCATTAGAAAAATTAATGAAAATGACTTGAAAATTTTGGGTTTTAACGATAAGGATAAAATAAAGGGTAAAATGAATAGTATCAGGATTGATTTTTAACGTAAAAAATATGATTTTTCGTTAAAATGAATAATACTGAAAGTTTTCCGTTAAAATTATCTCTTTCATTATCTTCGATTATTTATTTCTCATCATACCATTATTGGACTAGTTGACCATATGCCAGATTCCACTACCAAGAATCTCTCCCCACCCGCCAACCTAGGACCATTTATTTCCTCTCGTCTTTTTTTTTTTTGGGTCCAAATGTGCAACTGTTACTTAGTAGTCAATAAAAGGCTACATCAAGATTACAATGCTTTCCGCTTTGCTAAAATTGAAAAGAAGAACATTTATTGTATGCACTTTTACTTTTGTTTTATAAAAAAATTGTTTCCATAACTCGAACTCGTAACATTTCAATCATAAAGAAGTAACGTTTCTATTACGCCAAATTTCACCCTCACCAAATAGTCAGTACTAATAATAATAATAATAAGTTATTTAATATTAACAACATTTATTTGATACGAGTATATTGTCATTGAATGCATTGTGGCTAAACAATAAGTTGCACATATTTTTGTATCATTGATATTAGACATGAGGGTAATGATGTAAAGTCCTGATAGCTTAAACATTAGAGCCTATATATTTACGTATACAATTTTGCTTGTTTTGAAAGAGATTTACAGATAAGTTCCTAGTCGTTATCCTTCCAAGCATGAAATGTATTTAATGTTTTGGCACTGTCTCGTTGGACCTTGCCTATTTCGGTGGGTCAATGCTTCAGTGCTGCGTAATGTCCCATGCCAGCTTTGATCACGCCTATCTCCAAGTGGGAGCTCTGTCGAGCGGGGGCCCTGGCCTACCCTTAGTACAAATTCACGTCAACCTAGTTGATTCACGTGTTTTAGAAATCTTAAAGTGTGAATGTGTTCACGCACGACTGATCTTTGTATTTTTTTTAATTTTTTATGAAAACTCGGAATCTTGTTGGTGTGTGCGCTCTTTCTGATTACAAATGTATGCAAATCATAATTTCAGAAGCACGAGAAATAAGATCCAGAATGCTCAAAGGCGCTCATACGCAACCAACCTAGATAACCCTTATTTAGTGAAAATTGTGTGTCATGTCGGTGCGTACGTTCTTCCTGACTACAAATAAAACTAGAATACGCCCGCATACAGCTAACCTTCGTAATCATGTGCGCCCTTTCGTGTTGCAAATGTATGTGTGCCCTAATTATCGTAAGCAAAGGCAATATGAGCCAGAAAGTTTGACACGACTGATCTTAAACCTATTCTTTCATGGTTATTGTCAGCCATATTTGCGTGTGTGTTCTTCTTGACTACAAATGCTAAAAAACCCTAATTATAAAAGTACGAAAAGTAAAAGTTGAAAGGGGTATGTTATCCACACATCTCATTTTACTTTTTACACATCATTTGATAATTTTTGTCCGTTGAGATCTTCTTCAATTCATCCGATCTGACGGTCGAAAATTAAAAAAATATGTGAGAAGTAAAATGAGATATATGAATATCACATCCCAAATTGAAAAACTTCAAACACCTTCACGAACTACTGATCTTAGCATTGACAAATTTTTTTATCTGACAAATTTTTTATCTTTGCATTGCTGGTTGTTTGCTACTGGTGAGCAGTGTGAGCACTGACAGCGTTATCTGTCAAACGGTTATCCTTTGTGGCAAAAGACAAAGTTGTTGAAGGGATTGAGAAGATATGATGATGCTTTAAATTTTCACCCAATGGAAGCCAGTGATGTTGCATAAGTGTTGGTGAATAAATTACTGGTTTTAGAAACGATGTCAATGATAACAATGATTGTCCTTACTTATTGATGATATCCTGTTTTTATGAGCCGTCTATTGATGCTTTGAGTTTGGTGATCTGTCGCTTTGAAAGCTGGAAAGGTTATCTTTTAATTCTTATCTACCTCCCTGCTTCCACCAAGTGGGTGAGCTCGTTTGGGGACTCTCAAAATTTAAGATAGTTCACCATTTCTTTGGATTTTAGCAAAGAGAAACATCATATGTATGGAGATGTGATGCAACCATGACGGTGAGTTTAGAAAGAACAATGCTTAGGTGCACGTTCAATGTCTCATTGTCTATGCAATTGTGATTTTTAGTGTACACATGTTATAATACGAATTGTTAATTTATGTGATCATCATTTAAAGTTCACCACTTTATTAAAAATCAAACGAATTTAATGTTCGTTTAACATGAACGTTTGGTTCTTTAAAGAGGCGTTTTGATATAGGCTCTTCGTTTTTTAATTTTTTAGATCAAACATACACTCATTTTGAAAATTTGATCAAACATTTTCCTAAAATTTTTGTTATTAATTTTGTTTTTCACATAAGTTCAATTTTGTTTAGAATTTTAGTTTTTCACAACTTCTCTTGGACATTTCATTTTCTTTTTTTTTTCTTTTCCTATTATCCCTATATTTTTGCATTTATTACCCATCTCTATGCATTTTTTTATTGTTTGTTATCATTTTTACTTTTTTTTTTTGTGAATATAGTAGAATATTTATAAAAAAAATTGTCAGATTTTATTATTTAGAAAACCCAACACATAATAAAGATTTGTTTGATTATATAGCTATGTCTAGTTACCTATAATATGGACACATTTAGTTTTATGGTGGATTTGATTTTTGTACATTTGGAATGTAAATGTACCAAAAAGGGTTAGCTAATAGAGACATTTGGTTTTGTGGTACATTTGAGATTTTTTGTTCATTTGGTCTTTTGGTACGTTCGGAATCTAAACGTACCAAAAGGGTTACCTGACAATGGGCACATTTGAAATTTTGGTACATTTGGTTTCTCTATACATTTGAAATCTAAACGTACCAAAAGGGTTACATAACAATAGGTACATTTGGTTTTATGGTACATTTGAATTTTTGGTATATTTGATTTCTCGGTACATTTGAAATCTGCACGTATCAAAAGTCGATACTTTTGTTCTCAAATGTACCGTAAGTTTTAAGTATATTTTTTATATATCTATAATTGAAAAAAAATATATGTATTGAAGACTTTTTATTCAGACATTTTTAATAGAAGGAGAATTTTTTTTAAAATATTATTAATAAGGAAATGTGGAATTAGCTAATTAATTTTTTATTTTATTTTATTAAAAAAATATCACTTAATGCGTAGAATGGGATTGACGAAATTAAATTCCTATATTATAGGCAATTAGTTGCTAATATACATTATGCCTCTATATAAATGCATTTAAATTAATGACATGAAAATTAAATAAATAGAAAATTATCGAGGTGACAATTGATCAAAGCACCTTAATCAAATCTTTAAAAGGGATGAATGTTTAATCTAACAACTATAAAAAAGATGTAGAACATTCTAATTTTCCCTTCTTTTCTTTAAAATGGTAAAATGATTTTGAAGTTTAATGACTTTTTTGTTGTTGTTGGGATGATTCTTAGATGGAGATCTAAAAACTAGACAATGGATTTCAATGACTCTTTGCAAGACAGATTATTTGATGAAGATCTAAAAAGTAGTCAGTTTAGATAATTGAACCGCACTGCGGAATGCCCGGAAGCATTGAATATTTTAAACTATTCGTTGTGGGTGATGCATCACATACACATTGTCACCAATAACATTTTCTCTGTTTTGGGCTTCATGTTCAACTCAAAACCCATTTCTCATGCTCGGTCTAAGATGAAAAGACATAACTAATTGGAGAAATTAGATTGAATGCGGTCTTCTTACAATATTAGAGTGAGCGAAAAGAGAAACGGTAGTGCAAACAACACGTCGCTTGTTACTGGAGGTAGGTCTAATTGAAGAACATATACTCGTAAATGTAGCCATCGTCGTTTATAAAGACCAGATTTCAATATAAAAGCATGCTCAATTGAATTAACTAGCTCCAAATGATAGAAAAATGAAAAGAATTATTTATCAACAGAACGATTAAAATCTTAAAACTGTAATTAAAGTAGTTTAATAACAAATCACACTGTACGTAATGAAACATGACATTCACAAATGTAGGATCTGGAGTTCGGAGTAGAAACTGGGATGTGACATTCACAATGAAATAAGAACACAAATGCAGGATTCCTCGAAAGCATATCTCATTGGACTGGGCAGCCTTTGGCAGCTACCCCGGGAGCCGTCGGACACTGGGCCAACGGGCAGTGGTCACTGCCTTCCAGACCCCACCATTGAGGCCCATTGATCCCATTGGATTGGAGGGAGAAATACATGAGAACTCCCATGAAGGCAAGGCCAGCATCCAAAGCAGCAGAGAGGATATAGTTATGCCTAGCCCACCAGCCCTTGTGCCTTTTGTACACATAAAAGCTGAAGAAAATACCAACCGTAAACCATGTTATGAAGTGCACTGCTTTAGCCGGCGGCATGTTGCCCGTTGCTCCGAGGATTATGGGCATGTTGATAAGCCTGATCCACTTTTGGTTGGGGAATTTCTTGGAGAGGAACCAAACCGGAACAGGTGCAAGTAGGCCGATGAGGAAGAACCAGTTCATCTCCTTGTAGACTCCGTAACTGGTGAACATTCGGAGGGGGCCTATGACCCCCCATATGATCGAAGCATTGTAGAACACATCGTCTCCCGGGCATGTCCACGGACTTCCCTCTGGCAAATTTGATGTATCGCATATGTGCTCAATGGATTCGAGAAGCCACCATGCTGTGCCAAAATATACACCTGAAGCCACTACTGTTCCAACTAGCTGAAGATGCACAAAACGGAAATGATCCAAATCACATTAAGTGTCTGTATCATTATTATGAACGATTAAAGAATGAATACTTAAATTGGAAGTAAAATTGGGAGGGATTAAGTAGACAATAAGTTGTGTGTAAACTAGGGTTTAGTGTGCTTTTATTGTACAAGGGATGACTTTCATCAAATGAGTGTAATTAACTAAAAATTCTCTATGCAAAATGTCCGTCCTTAGTTAAAGGATGGATTTTGTATCATCGATCCTTTAATAAAGAATGAAGAACTGTAAGTGTAATTATATCACAAATATGAAAATTAAAACAATTGCTGCTACTATCGATAAATTTCGGTTACCTGTGCAATAAACATTGACTTAGGAGGGATCTTCATGTAGTGACCTAATTTGAAGTCACCAAGAAAAGTGAGTGCTTGTGCCATGCTGATGTATCCATAGGTTTTAAAGGCCACATTAGCAAGGGGCTTCCCTGGGTAAATATACCCAATAACTAGCTCCGTGATCACATTAAGCCCCGGTTGCTGCACAACAAATACAATTAGATGACAAATTGAAACTTATATGAGTCTCTTCGGACGAAATTTGCAACATGTTGATCATACCTGGTTTGTTGTGGCTTGAATAATGCCGATGGGCAAGGTGAAAAATAGGGCAATGCCACAAGCCATTAAAACTCCCCACCATGGAAGTTGGAGCTGTTTTCCAAAACCTTCACAAGCAAAGATGGAAAGGCCAACCATTAAAACAAGGATGAGTTGAAACCACCATTGAGGGACAGAATCATAGTTCTTTTTCATCAGACGGGTATGGATGTCGCCGACTTGATCTTTCACGACACTAGCTGTCTTCTTCCACATGTGCCAAATTGACCTGTTCATGTATGTACAAGTTATTAGCTTTGAACAAGAGTAATAATCGAGTGTACTGATTTTCACGCTCCTGTTTTCTCCTTCTGCACTCCTCTTATTGTTTTTGTCCCTTGATAAGTCTCCTTCAATTTATTCAATCAAATGGCTCGCAAAAAGGAGTGCACATGAAGAAACAAGAGTTCAAAAATCACTTCTCGAAGTTGAAAGTGATGCTGAAAAGAAAAAAGAACGTACTTTCCATGGAAGAGGCCAACATGTGAAATAGTGGCTGTAAGAGTGGCAAAGCTCAAGCCATAAGTAAAGGCAAAGAAGGTACTGAGATAGAGTTTACTGTAATTGTTATACGCTTCGAGGTCAATGTCGAAAGTTGTTTCGTTCAGAACCCGTGAAATATTAAAGGTCTTGCCCGTGGAGTCGAAAGTGTGAGAGGTGAAGATTGGAAACTTCTTAGCATCATACGCATTGGACCAATAAGAAATGGGGGTGAGAACGTAGAGGATCAAGATGAAACCAACTAACATATTGATGATGGCAAATCCAGGTGTGGCTAAAGGGCTGCCCAAGAAGCCGGCAATTGTGGACCAATCGAAGCCGAAAGAGCCAATGCCAAGGCCACCCATGCCGGAACCGATCTGTTGGGCGGTGATGGAGCTCTTCCATATCAAGCAAACAATGGAGAAAGCAGAGATGGAGGGGAAAAGAAATCCGGGAACAATGTAGTAAGCAAAGCTGCATGCGAAAACAGTAAGGAAGAACTGCAGCCTAGTCAGGCCTCCCCTTGGTCTCTTTTCCTTCTCATGCAATGCCCTGCCAATCAAGTTATAATTTTTTTCGATAAAGATAGAAAATCAAAGAAATGCCATGCGATTGTAAGTGACAATTTTTTTCAATCCTATCACACACTGATATGGGCTGTAACTTAACCAGATGACGGTGCATGATTGACATGGAATGCCAAATAGTATTCTCAATAAGGATGATTTAATAAGAAAGTACCTGAAGAGAGAAACTTGAACTAGATTTGAGGGCCACCACATGTAAGGGGAGTCAACAAGGTATTTTCTGAATAAGCCAGCCCATCCATACCCAAGCATCTGAAAGTTTTCAAATTTCACAACAAAACAATTACTTGCCGAGCAAGAAATCAAACACACAAAAGAAAACCTAGTCATAAATCAATCAGTGGTGCCAAAACTTGCCTGAGTGGTTTGTGCTAACAGGAAGGCTGCTGCAGGATTCTGCGGTCTGTGGTAGAAGGCCTTGACAATCGTGATGATGTGAACTGCATAAACGCCGCCTGCTCCCGAGTTAGCAAATATGGTGATCAACACATGTTCCTTCAGATTGAACGGCCCCGGATTCATTGTAAACGACCATTTTGTGAAGGGAACTCGGAATTTTCTGGTTGGAAGGGTCGCAGCCATCAACTTTCCTAGAGGAAGGACAACAATCTGCGCCGAGACTGAAGAAACAGAGAGCTGATTTGTTCGGAACCCAAAGAATTTGTTGACGAAAGCAAGAATTGCACACGATAAAATCCCCAGAACCCATGTCCGAAACGTCAAGGTTGGCTGTGAAGGGTCATCGGTGATTGGAACAGTTAGCCGAACTTCCTCGATGGGGCAGTCATTCACTGCATCATCACCTACGTCGACAAATACAAAAAAAGTTCAGATTATAATTCCAGAATTATTTGGCCCGTCATCATCTGCGATGTTAGTCATGAATTTTCAGGACAACTGCACATACATCTCTACATTATATTAAAATAAAAATTTAGTAAAATAAACACAAACAAAATTGGTTACAAACTTTTTACAAAAAATAAAACTAGAGAGAGACGAAAAGACAATAAGCCATCCATTTATTGCCATTTTATTAGTGTCCATTGAGATCCTTTTTTAATAAAAGTTTGTAGCCATTTCACTTTATGTATATTCCCAGAAAATTTAAGATTTTTCTGGATAAAAATGTTGACAAAACAAAATAATGTACAGGGATCATAAGGAGTACTACTCGGCTAGGGTTACTAACCAATGACATCAATGTCCGAGTGAAGCTTGCCGGGCAAGTTTGCTTCAGAGACTCCATCGAAGCCGCCCATCATCTTTCTCTCCGGGCTTCCTCTCTGCTCTCTCTTCCACCTTTTTTCGGTCGCAATGTGCTTCAAAACCTTCAATGGCTACAAAAAAATGGAAATGGCACTCTTTATATACAAATGCTTATTGTTTATTTTGTTGATTTTCTCTGGTAAACAAACGTGTTAGGGGATGTTTCTTAAATTAGGAAAGTGATATGTGCATGTTTTAGCCTACTAACCATGTGCTGTAGTGCAGATTAGTCAAATATACAGCCATGCATCTAAATTTGGAAAAATTAAATTTTAACGTAACGAAAAACATGTAACGTGTTAATTATTCCTAATGTCGCATTAACTCTGCGAGTAATTGGATTCACATTAGGAATCGAATCGGTACGTTATGAATCTTGCAAGAATTCTGAATCATATTCAATTTGCTCACCAGGAATTTAGGCTAATTAATATTCATTTCCACGTAAAGTGGCAAGAAGATAAACAGAAAAACAGAAAGGAAAAAACAAACAAAATGAACCTAGACTAGTATTGGGCCTCAAAATAAAACACAATCCGAACTGCTTAACCAAAAAAGGGAAAGAAAAATTGGAAATCGATCCGGGTCCTTTAGGTAAGAAGATATTTGATATTCTTTTTACCAAAAAAAAAATAAACTTATGCTAATATGGACCTTCTCTGCACACAGAGAGTGGTAGATGAGAAATCCAGTTTTGGGGGGATGACAGCTAATTCAATTCAAATAAGTTGTGAAAATATGAAATTATGTGATACATTTAAGATTTAACCTGTGAGTGAGGTATATATAAAAATAAATAAAATTTATGAAAATAATTCAAAGAAATTTCATCTTCCATACATTTATAAATCCAAATATATGCAGATATATATACTTAGAAAATTGGATTAAAAGAAATTATACCTAGCCAAGAACATAAACCTTATCATAATACAAGAAGAATAATAAATTGAATAAGAAAATAGGAGAATAAACCTAATCCCTCTTAAGAAAACAAACGAAAATACAAGAAAAGAGGGGGACGTCAAACCTAAACCCCTGTAAAAAAACTAGAAGGTCCAACACAGACATGCGGTGTTTATTCCACTCCAATTATACTGTAAGACTTTTATTTTTCAAGATTATTACAATGATTTAGAGGAATAGAGAATTTTGAACTCGGAGCGCATGACTGAAATTGCAATAGTTTATATTGTCAGACTTTTTTTTTTTTTTTGAACAAACAATATTATCTACACTAAGAGGTGGGGGAGTAAGCTAAGCCTCACAATGAGCTATTAATAATATAGTTCAAGTTTGTCTTTGGCGAGATCAAACCTAAGACCTCTCACTTACAAGTGAAGAGTAATATCACTAGACAGTTTGCAAAATTTTGAGATGATACTTATACATTAATAAGGATAATGTATCACTAGGAATGTATAGCTGATGTAGTCCTGGTACGATTAGAAAACCTAATTCGATATGAATAGTGAATACTAAAGTTTTGATGATAAAGTCATGTTCGAGTAGAATTACATGATGGGCTACTCAAATTCCACCTCTTTTACTATATGACAAGGGCATGTGGCTATGCTCTCACATTTTACCTCTTTTACTATGATGTCGTCACAATACAAAGAGCAATGTAGAACTATAAAGATTGTTTCTAATCCACATAAGTGTTTTTTAGTTGATTACGAATTTTAGTCCAACAATTATAACATATATTTGTTTTTTATTAGTGTACTCCATAAATGATATCAATCATATGGTCCACCATTCATAATTTTTTTTTCCATATTAGACACAATTTTTTGTTTATTACCATAATATTCTAATCTAATTTTATTATGACAAGGAAACCTAAATGCAGATAGATCACACTGCTTTAAAATAAATTGATTGCAAACTCGTCATTCTTAAGATATTTTTAAACACAATTCTGACAAAGAGCCAGCCGGGGTGGAAGAGCGCCAATCCTCCTTAGAAAATTGCTGATAATTAAGACACTGACCCAACGTCTTCAATTAGCTTTCAAAGTCTCTGCCTTTGCCCATTTTGCACTTCTCTTCATTAAAACTTGTCTCAAAGCTTAACGTGTAGCACAAGTTTTGGGACATCTGTGGAAAATTGCTGATAAGAAATTGTCGAATATTTAAGCTCTTTGAGTCTAAACGAACAAATGTTTGTGTTAGTAACAGGGGCAAGTGGCAATGGTGCAGCCACATTTGAATTGTCAGCATGTAGATGGAGATACATGCATGATCATAGATGGAAGTGTTGTATTTTCTTGAGGTAGATCTGTGATTGCTGAAAATTTTCTTGAGGTAGATCTGTGATTGCTGTAAATTTGAGCCTTTGAAAATGTCAAGCACATCATGGTTCTGAAAGCTCGCAATACAACATAAATAGTTAACTCGTAGGCAGTAATTCAAAGTACAAACCAGAATTACAGCGAGACACCAAAATATTGGAGATGGTCCATTGCCTAACAGCTTTCTCATCATTCTAAAGTTTACCAGCACTTTTTATACCTGCAAATAACATCATACATGAATATTTACTCACCACATGAATTATGACAACAAATCCTGGCAAAAGCAACTACTGTGCAATATATACATGAATATTTCCAATGGTTCTCAAGCAACTGCTGTGCAATATATACTTATTTGTATCGTCAGGCATTTGTAACAGACTGGTATGCCTTGCAGATGATACAATCATACAATGTTGCAGCTTTATAATATGGAACCCTTCTGTTAGCATGTCAGTGACCCTTTCCAGGGTTCGGTTTTACCCATGGAACCAACCATAGCTAAGGTTTATTCACTAGCCAAAGGCTCATGGAGCAGTTCTGGTTCCGTTTCCCTTCACAGTGAAATATTTGGAAGAGAAGAAGCAGCTTTTATCAAAGGGGATCTTCATTGGCCTGCAACACAGTAACAAATGAAGATTATTTTACCGCATTTTCCCCATACTAGTTTTGAAGACTGTCCTTGTTGAATTTTCACAACGTTGATGAATTTTTCTATCCATTTTTTATGAGCTATCTTCTACTCATCAAGCATATGAGGGAGTTCCATGCAAGTGTCAATGGATATTATTTTGTGTAATTTATGCTTCATAAGTGGGATAAGTTTTGTGAAAATTGTGTATTTCAACTAAAATGAAATTCGTAGGTTAGGCCAGATGGCCAGGTTAATGTGCGCTATTGTATCGGTAATTACTTATTGCTACCAAGACTCACTTGAATGCGACTGGGGTGTCCTGAATTAATAGCCGGATGCCATATATTTCTTTTCATTTAGAAAAATTACACAAACCACATCTCAATTAAAGAAAAATTTTGATTCCAGACTGCTAGACAACGTTACCCGTTCAACACACCCTTCAAAAGAATGAAACCCTCTGTATTTAGTCTCACCCAACCCTCACATTTTTTTTTTTTAAAGGGGGACAACTGGTGGCAAGCCACAGTTACCTAACCCCTCACATTGGTTTCACACGTTTAAATTGTTGCCCTACCTCACATTGGTTTCACACGTTTAAATTATTGCCCTATATAGGGGTGGGCTAACAATAGACTAGCAATAATATGATTCAAATTCGTCTTTGACGAAAATCGAATCTAAGACCTTTCACTTACAAGTGAAAAGAAATACTACTAAACTGTAATACTAAGTGACTTCAGCGTTGCTACTTGTTTTAACTCAATAGTACAAGATTAGTTTGAGACACTGTTCTCTAAATCCTCACCGCCTTCTACGGATTGCCATACACAAGAACCCCTCGTCAACGAGGCCTTATTATACAGGGCTCAAACACAAGGCCAGCCCATGGTAATTATGAAAGGCCCATTTACATCGTCTCTCTCTGCAAAACCCTGAACCCCAAATTTTCCCTACTGTCACTCTCTCTCACTAAACCCCAAAACCCTAACTGTAAATTCGATCGCTGAGAACGAAGAGAGAGAGAGAGAGATTGAGGGTGGCCGGTGAAGCAGTGAAGGAAGAAACGATGTCGTCCGATACCGAAGATACGACGTCGGGTTCGGAGTCTGAAGCATCGGACTCTGCGAAGGCCAACTCCACGCTGGAATTCATAGAGAAGCTCTCAGATGTGCCAATGGGGCGGCTGCCCCCGAACATTGAATTCCAGAGGACACGTGTCGAGTGCAAGGCCGATGCTCCCATTCATGTACAGAATTTTTCACCCAATTTTTTTTTCATTTTTCAATTTTTGTTTTATGAAATCTACATTTCCCCATGATTTTGTTTTTGACATTTTTTTCGATTTTGGAATTTTTTTGTTTCTAGTTTGAGATATTTTGACTGTTTTGAGTAGAAATTTGGGTTCTTTTGGTTTTTGGTTTTTGTTGATGGTCATGTTTGGTTGCTGAGAAAATACGGGAAAGTGAATTTCTTTATGGTTAATGGAGATTTTTTTTTTTTTTTTTCTAATTGGGTTACCTGAACACATAAGCTCGATCCCCGTTCAAGCATAGAGGTAAATTTTTCAATGAAGAAAATAATTTTTCTTTGGACCAAGATTGTTTCTTTGAAAAGATTATGTGGAAGTGGTAAAACCGAAGTAAGCAATCTGCCAAAGTGGCATAAACCTGCATTCAGCGATATTAGTTATGATTCGTGTGTTTCATTTCTCCCAATACAGTGAGGAAAGGCATCGATGAATTTTTCTTGTTTTTCTTATTTCTTACAGTTTTAAATTTTGGTGTTTACAGACTGATACTTTTCAGTATAATGGTGCTTATGCATCAATGGGAGTCGATAATAACTTAGTGGATAGCTTCTGTGACAACTTTAAAGTTGAAGTTATTAATCTTACGGAGGATGAGATGGAGTTTGATATGATCGGCATTGATCCAGCAGTTGCCAATGCATTCCGGAGAATCCTTATAGCTGAGGTTTGATTAAATTCACGAGTACTTGAGTATGCATGATTAAATTATGCTTCGTGAGTGGTTAATATTGTTTTGAGTTCATATACTAGTTCTGTGTTCATATTCCGTTTTCATGGGCTTATATATCATCTTCTAGCTGTATCACTCTGTGACATAGTGAATCTTGTTTAAGCATCATGCATGGCATATTAAAAAAAAAAGAACTTGTATTTGGGTATATAAGTGTTTTAAGTTCAACCTATCATCTTCTAGCTGTATCACTCTGTGACATAGTTTAAGCATCATGCATGGCATATTGAAAAAAAAAAAGGACTTGTTTTCGGGTATGTAAGTGTTTTAAGTTCAACTTGTTACTTCTATACAGCTTGAGTGACTTCATGGTTAGTTTCTCATGTTTACTTAAACCATCTCATATGAGTTTGTGTCTGCTTCTCTTATTTCCTTGAATTAAGGCTAGGTGTTTTATGCATGGAAATTTGGATCTACTTTTTGTAATTGGAATTTGTATGCTATTCGATATTTTTCTCACTGATATGATATACATGGAAGTGTAATGAGAATTGCTATTCAGTTAGCAGTATATGTTACGAACAGCGATCTAAATTTGTTGTATTATACAATCACAGGTTCCCACAATGGCTATTGAAAAAGTTCTTATTGCAAACAATACATCAGTAATCCAAGATGAAGTACTTGCTCACAGGTTGGGTCTCATTCCGATCAAGGTTGACCCTAGATTATTTGAATTTACAGGTAATATGGTTTGATATTTCCATTATTTTATATAAAATAAATTTATATTTGTTTATTTCCTCTACTGAGTTCTTTCCTGTCATATTTTACTTTGTAGAAAATAATACACCAAATGAAAAGAACACCATCGTTTTTAAGCTCCATGTTCGCTGTGAACGAGGGGGGCAGCGTATTTCAGGTATAGTTCTGTGTTTTGTTTTGTTTTTTAGACTATCAGTAAGTTTTATAGACCTATCTTTCTCCAAGACTATTGGTGGGAATTTTCTTTTTGTGATGACTTTGCAACATTTTATGCAGTAAAGTCAAAAGAATTGATTTGGTTGCCAAATGGGAGTGAGTATCCTTTGGAATCGCAAGATACCAAGTCAGAGTCATCCTCAAAACCAAAAACATATACATCATTTACTTGCAGTCAGGATTCCTTGCCAGAATTTTCCGACAATCCAATTTGCCCCACGAGTGGAGACATTACAATTGCTAGACTAGGCCCTGGTCAGGTAAACATGTTTTTTGTTTTGTATTGTTGTGGTCATTGCTCAGAAATCATAAGTGTTTTTTCTCCTCGCTTTGTTCCTTTACCTGCTCAACCAAGATTTATCTTCCTGTAAGAACAAATGCTAGCACTAATAACAGCTAAGTTGTCCAATCTGCTCATTAAGAGAAATGAATGCAAGTAGATATTTATTTATACATGTTTGAAATGGCAGTATCCTTTGTGTACACTTCTTTTGTTTGACTCAAGACAACATGCACTCCCTGTCGCATGGGTCATCACACGTAGCTTTGCAAAGCCAGATGTGTCTAAAATTAGTTGAAATTAGTAGATATTTGTGAAAATTTTGGGAATTTGATATACAGCACTTTTCACTCTGGAACTTAAGCACAGGTCTAAAATTTGATATGTGGGGCAATCGACTTCAAATATTGTTTCATTATGCAGCATTGTAGCCAACTACTATCTTATCAGTTTAGTATTTATTCTATCTAGTAGTCAGTAATGTTTACTGTTCTTGTAAATTTACTTTTAAGTGATGTTAAATTTACCACTTTTTAGGAAATTGATCTGGAAGCACATGCTGTTAAGGGCATTGGTAAAACACATGCTAAATGGTCTCCAGTTGCCCCTGTTTGGTATAGGATGCTTCCTGAGGTAAGGAGTTGTTTTAGTGATTTTGAAAACACTCTGAAGATTATGTCAAAGTAATCTTAAAGATTTTGATTTCTTATTAGGTTATAATATCGCAAGATATTGAAGATGAGATGGCTGAGAAACTTGTGGCAACATGCCCAGTTAAAGTATTTGATATTGAAGATATTGGCAACGGTTAGTCATTACCCTTTTGTGGCATTTATTCTCACTGTTCTAGATACTAGACCGGTAGCAAAATTTATTCCAAAAATGATATAATTTTGTGGGTTTGTCCCGGTATTTGGATTATAAAAACTCTTGTTATATTTGCATGCTTTGAAATACAATTTGTTTGCCTTGTTTTTGTCATTTTTTGGAGTGGCTTGATTTGATGATTTGACCGCTTAGCAGGTAAAAAAAGGGCTACTGTAGCCAGACCGCGTGCTTGCACACTGTGCAGGGAGTGCATCAGAGAAGGGAAGGGTTGGGAGAATTCTATTGCTCTGCAGCGTAAGAAGGATCATTTCATTTGTAAGTAATTTCTTCTGTGTTCAAAGTTGGAATTTTAAATTCATTTTGCTTTCTCGTTGTTCACGATGTCCTAGAATTGCAGCTTTGGTCCTCATGGCACAAATCTATAAGAATTCAGTTTCAATTCTTTTGTTTGTAATAATAACTTACTCGAGAGCCTTTAGAAGTCGGAACTTTGGATCATTTTCAGATACGAGCTCAGTAGACTACTTTAATATATATGCTTACATCATGTAATATGAGTGAAGTTGGGTTCATATAGGAAAAAGTTTCAATATAGCACAATTTGTTTCCATCAATGATTTTCAGAGTTCTAACTGTCTCACTCGCTCTCGTGCACACAGTCAAAATTGAATCAACCGGTGTATTACCTCCTGAAGTGCTATTTACTGAAGCTGTGAAGATTTTGGAAGACAAGTGCGATCGTGTTATTTCTGATCTTTCGTGATGCTCTGGTATTTGTGTAGAAAGAAAATGAAGCTAGAAGGAACAGTAAAAATATTTGATGTCCTGTATGTTTAGATCGCAAATCCACATACCGATATGTGAAGTGAAATTCTTAATTTGCAGTAAGATGAGCAGCTGTTTTCTTCTTCTTTTGTAATTTTTGGTTTGCTCGTGCAAAGTATATTCTTATGTAGCTCTGTCCTTCCCCATAGTATTCTATGGCTCAGGAAATTTTTCACACACTATTTTTCTACTTATCCGCACTTTTGTTTATTTCTGTCCTTTGATTCTCCTTTGTTTTATTCGGTCAAGAGGCTAGAATTCAATTACATATGGCTGCCCATGACCGTGCGACTTGTTCTTATATTTTTCTCTTTGAGCGGGGTATAAGATTGCGAAAACAATGTTTGGGTTCCTACGTGTAAAGTTCTATTCCTCCTTAACTACAAACCATTGTCCGACACAAACAAAAACATCTCGTTACGAAAACTGTTTGCACACAATGTCAGAATTCTGATTTCACGAAGAGGACTTATCTTACATGAGAAGTTTGTGGGAAGGATGATTGTAGGAATTAGTGGACATGTTTGTACTTTGTAGAATTGAGATCCTCTCTGGATCTCCATGTCCGGAGCCTACGGACCCAGAGATCCGGATTACTCCTTTTAAATCATGTGATTTTCATTAGTTCATTTTCTTGGCTCACCTTACACAAACTAAATGTCCGGATCTCTCTTTCTCTCTCTTGAATGACCAAATCTTCAGATCCTTGGGCTCTAAATACAAAAATCGGAGAGGATCTCTACTCCGCGTTTGTGAAAGAGGTGAAGCATCAAATCTTTATTGGAGACATTAGTTGTTGCCTGTTGGGTATTATGTTTTGTAAGACAATGCCAGACAGTTTTCTGTTGGAGAGCACGAGAAGCCACTCTTTGTTCCATCTTCAAACTGTTGGCATTAATTAGTTGTTTCTTTTGTCTTCACCCATCATCTAGTACCAATGACCAAATGCCCTTCCAATCATTGTTGTTTCTTTTGTGAGAAGCTCAAACTTCCTGCACCTCCTTTTCTGACAAAGCAATATTCTAAACTATTCTTAGTCACGGAAAATGGGATTCGGTGTACATTGTCCTAGTCAATTGTTCTCAGTCACGATTAATGGGATTCAAAATACACTATCTTAGTCAACTAGCCTAACCCACTCCTTTGCTCCATTCGGAGCATGATCAATGCAAACGGTAGAGTTTGTGCTGAATGTACAATAGTTGGGCCGTATATTGTATAAATGAAGCAATTATCTGTAGATTTATGGTTAATGCTGAGAAATTGTACTTGTACATGATCCAGATTATACATACATCCACTCTAGTTCAGAGAGAATAAAGCGACAAAATTGTTGAGCAAAATGACTAGCATATAGGGGAATTGCATATACTTTGGGGGTTCAAGGCTTCAAGCTAATTCCTTTTACCCCTATGTTTTCTGGGTCCAACTACCTCCCATCCATCTTCTGCTTTGGCCGACGGCTTGGGCTTTGACTCGTTGCTGGAGACGTCTACGGGATTTAAGTTCGAATGAGCCTCAGGTATGTCTACCATCATGTTTGAGGAGTCATCATTTCCCATGCTATGATCTCTATTATCATTGTCTTTGTCACTATCCTCGTCATCATCATTTGCAACCTGGCATGAGTGACAAAGAGAATTGAGAGATATTATTAGCAAGGCATACATTTCAACGTATCATCCTCACTCCGCCACTCACGGCTTTAGAGGAAAACTTTCAAGACAACTTCCACAAGTTATTTTCAACATACAAAAATTCAGAGAAAAGCACCTTGTCACCAGACATAAGATAAGTTTATTTTGTTAATTAGTAAAAACTTTAAAGGCTGAGAGGTTTAAATGGAGCTTTACCTCTCTAACATGCGGAAGAGCAACTCTTCGTTGATTGGCTTCCCTTAGGCTTTCAATCGACTTGAAATTACAACATAAACACTCTTCAAGCATAATCATTCAGAAGATAAATTGAAGTCGACCTGCAAAAGGCAAAGAAATTATCGACATAACTTTTCAGCTACCTGTGGAAAAAAAAACGCAAACATTATAAAGATGGAAATCATTACGAAAAGTAAAAGTTGCATCCCCACTTCAGAGAAACAATGATGAACACATGAAATGAAATCATCCATAAATTGTCTGTTGAACGAAACATGAGCAGAATATCTACGATGGCTGGAGATGCAGCTGATTCTTAGCTGCCAACTTTAATGTAGCTGATGCTAAATGGTTTTGAGTTTCTAAAAGTCGAATAGTCAAACAAGTGCTGGTGGTCTGGAACACACACATTACAAATCTTTGTAACGGTGGCCCATTCAAAGTCACGCAGTCTATTGAGTAAACATATTACTTTTGAGTTTCCCATCAGAAGCATATTAAATCTTCTCCATTTTCATCCATTAAGATACTATTAAGTGTTCTCCGAGGACACGAAGCTGAGGGGCAAACGCATACCTCCTTGATGCTGCCATCCTCTGTCATAGTGTTGAGAGAAAGCATAGCTTCATTCAGCATATCTTCCAAATCATCTATGTAAAGTGGCTCTGCGGAGAATCAACACATGGTTGTCAGAATCCATTCTACTCGGCTAGAATCGACAAAAATTTTCATTCAAGAACCCAAGAAAAAAATTAGCAGTTCCATATAAACTTCGGTATGTAGAAAACTTGCTAATTTGAACATAATTACCATTTAGGTTTTACTTAATTACCAATTTCACTTCATGCATTGTATCGTATTCCTACTAATAATAGCAAATTATTTATAAAACCAATCAATCCTCACCAAAATTGGATTAAAACACAGAAATTTGTTAAGCAAATAGAAGATTTCGGCACAAAATCGAAGTTTCTTGTGATAAAGATTCTTACTTTCACATATAAATTCCCAATTGAATCCTAATTCCAATCTCAGAGGCACAATGCATCACAAAGTATTACAAAAACCCAACAATCATATAATAATTCCATAAAAAAATAAGCAGCAAATCAAAATTCAAGCTCAACTTTTCACACAAAAATGGAAAATTGGATGAGTCGAGCTAGAGGAGCTGAGGGAATCAAGTACCTGTGGAGTGATTGAACCAGGAGAAGATATCGGCGACGAGTTGCTCCGCTTTGCGGCGCGAGTCACGACCGCCCCACTCGTTCTCGACGGCCAATTGGAGCGCTGACCACCGAGACAGAACCAATCATATACCTTCCTGGAATACAGAGCCAGCCTCCGCCGATAGCTTTCTCTCAGGCTCCATTTTCAGAATCTCCGTCTGGTAAAACCCTAACCCTAAGCCTGAAAAGGAAAAAGATGAGGTTTATGAAGGGGTCCGTTTGGTTTGCTGGATTGTTATACTCTTGACGCGGTTTTTGGGGGTTCTAGCTAGAGATAGGAGTCGGAAAGCTTAAAAAAACAAAAAACTTAGATGTAACTATCGTCTCGTTTGAAAGCTGATGGGTGCGTATTTTCATATATTATTATCATATATTTTCTTTGAATTTTATCTATATGGATAGGTTAAATGCATTAATATTGTTTTAATTCATAGGTATTTAATACGGGAGTTACGTGAAAGAGAAGTGATAAATAGAGATTTCAGGTGTCTATAGTAATTTCAATGGAACAAGAAGCTAACTAACTGCGCGAAGACATGTGCATTACAACAAGAAGATGAAACTGAGCCGTTTTGGAATCAAATAGAGATGGAAATGCTATTCAATGGAATTTAGAAGAGAACTTAATTTCTAATTTTTATTATTTCCGTTTATTTTTCATTTTCTTTAATAAGGACTTCAAGTCCATCAGTGACAGGATTTTAATTGGATTCCAATTAGCCTTTAATACCCTTGCCGTGGGTTTTATATTAAGGAGATCCATTCTCCTTGTGAAAAGTCAGCCACAAAAACAAAACAAAAAATCATCTATTCTACATAGGGGCTGCGGCAAGGAAGGCCAAGAGGAAGAGCTACTTTGGAGTTTTTCTTTATTAGGGCTACGATATAGCTTAATTATGAATACTTAATTGTCTTGTAGCATTGTTGTTATCAAGTTTTTCTTCTTTATTGAGTATCTTTTGCTATTCGTAATACGCTTGATTTTTATTTAGATGCTTGATCACCATCTAGGTTTAAATTAGGTTGATTTGATGCAAGTTAGAGTAGATGTCATACTTAACTTGTGTTTAGCTTCTTGCAATCAATACCATAACCACCTATTTGTAGATGCCATACAATTAGGGTTTGTATGATTTTCCAACGATTTCCATAAAGCTTAATGGGTTCTTACTTGTTTAAATCCATCTAGATGCCATAGAGGGTTAACATGTAAGGATACTTCTGATGCAACCATATGTCATGGCCATCGAATAATTTAAGGAAAATCGATCATCAGTATTGGGGAACTACTTGAGCATAACATATTAAGAGAATTAAGTAGAATTGGTTACAGTGAATTCGGATGCCCTATGTTTTATTTTCTTATGTTTTTAATTTAATTATTTCATGCATTTTATTTTCAAGTCATATTTCATTTTTAGTTTAATTCAAATTTTTTCTCTTTTCCATTAAGGCTTCTCAATTCCCAATTTGTTTCAATGTAGTTAGTAAGATTTTTAGAATCAATTCGATCTCTGTGGGACGATATTCATGCTTATATGCTATACTGTCATTTGATTCGTATACTTACAAGCACAAAAATTCAATATTTAATGAGCCTAATTTCTGTTATCTAATTTTCACAACAGAAGCACTTTTAAAATGATTAGAACCGCTTTTAGAGAAAAACAAATAGGAGTTGTTATTATCATTCCAAACATCTGATTTTACACTCCAAATTTTCTCTAATTAGAAAGAAAAATACACTTAGGAGGAGTGTATAATAAGTTTTTTTTGGAGTGTGAATAACTGTTCCCAAATGTTTTAGAGCTTTAAAAAACACTTTGGCTGGATTCACTTATATTTTTAATAAGGATTGGTTCCAAAAATATTTTCATAAAAAATGTTTTCAGCCATTTAAGGAACACTTTCAAATGAGTCTTATAACCTTCTATCGTTTATTTTTTTAATCCATTTTTCAAACCGTTGTCAAACCATATTTATTTTCCAATTTTTGTTTCACACATTTTACACCGTCTCTTCTTTCGCTACAAATGTAAAATCATAATGGTGATCAAATGGGTAAATTGTCCTATTTTTCTTTAAAGTGAGTACCTTTTGTGATAATACAAAATTAATTGTAAAAAAAAAATACATAACCAAAATCAATTGATCTAACCTAAATATGTTTGTTTTAATAATTTAGACTCTTAATCTTGACCCTTGTTTCATGATCCAACTACTCTTGTTTATGTGCACAAAGAAGCACTATCCATAAAAAAATTGGTCACTTGATGGCCCACCTCTCCAAATTTCCAACATGTCAACAATCAATCCCTAACCATCCAATTGGATCATGATCTCATCAACTAGCACTCTCATGGAGCATTTGCCCCTATCATTAATCAACACCCAAATTTACAAAAACAACTTACTTAAAGTGGCAGAAAGGAGGGGACATGCCTGGTCAATTTGGTCATTTCCCTTATCCTCAAAGCCTTAAATAATTAGGAAAGCTCAAAACTCCCAAAGCATGAGGGACAGGGTGGAGCCTAGAAGAGGCCCATGCATTGATTCAGACAATTGTATTTGGGACAAAATACATGGAAATAATTGAACCCTAATAATTAGAAAAATGAAATTCAATACAATAATATATTTATACGCTAAACTCTTTCAAGGTAGGACTGTCGATGAATTTTCTGGCATCTCATATTTTTTATATAATATTTTATAATAATAGCACAAAAATTGACATTAAACTATAAGGTATAAAATCCATGAAGAGTCTCACTCCTCTTTATACCAAAAAAGATAAATCTAGATTAAACTCGTAGCGTCGTATACGAAAATATAACCTAAAACATTTCATTTAAAAATAAATAAAAAACAAATGAAATGCTAAGAGACAAAAAAAGATAGTGTTTTCATATATTTATTTTTACTTCGATTAACAGTCTAAAATTGAGAATGTCTACATAGTGAAAATTGATGTGTAAACAGCACTACTCAACAAAAACTTAATAATTAACAAAAAAAAAACAAAAACAAAATAAAATAAAAAAGCCCTAACTTTTGCAGTTTGGCTTTGACCCCATTTCTCTCTCTGTCAAAGACTCAAAGCCTCAATACATGGATGGTTATGGTAGCCCGCAGACCCAACTCTCTCTGAGTCTTTCTAATCTAACTCACAGAAACCATCTCTCTCTCTCTCTCCCTCTCCCCCACAACAGTTGTGAGTGCTATTTTCCTTGTTCCTTTCCACTCTGCTAAAGCAAAACCAAAGCAAAGAACCCTTTCGAAGTTCTGATTTTTTGTGGAAGGCTCTCTCTCTCTTCCCTCCCCCCTCTCTCAAGCCCAGGTATCTATCTTTTCTGGGTTTCCTTTTCTGTTCACTTTTAACTGGTCCTGTGATTTGTTTGGTGATTTTTGCTTCTTTATTGCACTCTATCTTGTTTTTATAGCATCTGGGTATTTTGGATCCAAAGTGTTGGGTCCCTGTATGAGATCTGTACGTTTGAGATCTGATTTTTGCTTCTTTATTGCACTCTATCTTGTTGGAGATCTGTATGAATCTCTTTACTTTGCTTCTTATCTTTTGCTATAGATTATGGGTTTTGTGTGTATTGATAGATACACAATTACATAAATTCAGTTGAGTTTTTTTCTTTAGCTCCCATGGCTCTTTGATCCATGGCATTTTTTTCTGCAGAAAGTTTTGAGCTTTCATGGGGAAAGGATTGGCATTTTTGAGGTAGAAAGTTTTTTAGATTGTTTTATAGCTTGATGTTTCTGGGTTGCATGCAAGTCTGTGCGTTTATGCCCATTTCTTGATGTTCTCTAGGTGGGTTTTTACAGTTTCTGCTAATTGTTTAAGAAATGTTAAATTCTGATCTGCCGGAACGAAAATTTTACTGCTTTGCGTGTTGTTCATTTGGAAATAATTTAAGGTTGATTACAGTTCTGGGTTGTGTAGTTGAATCTGCATCGTGTTGATGGAGTAATGATTTTGATGTGTCTTTATTTTCGGGTTGAAATGTTGTCGCCTGATGTGCATAGTTCTATAGACTGGATTGGATAGTGTTCCCTGTTCTGTATTATATCTATTGTTTCCAAGTGGTGAACTCTTTGTTTGTGTGTAGAAATTGACTTGCAATTAATGGACTTGAAGATGAATTTAATCGAGAGTGTCAATGGAGGGAATCAGTTGGTGAGGTTGGGGAATGAGTAATGGGTTTGTCCAATTCGATCTTTTATATCAAGTGTAATTTATGTCGATGGCCTCTAAATCCGGTGCCAGAAGTTCTTCCCCGGAAACTCAGAGGAAATTAATTGGTAGTCAAACAGCAGAAGGAAATTTTCGCAGACCTTCACCTCTACCAATTACAAAGATGAGCAAATCGGAGCCAGTCACTCCCAAAAAAATTCCTAGGCATGTTCAACAAGATGCACTGAATCAGGTTTCCACAGAAATCACTGAAGAAAAGAACTATAAGATTCCTCATCAGAAGGAGTCTGCCAAAACTTTAGCGGATCAGTTAGGTTCAGCTTTATCACTGGGTAATGCAAAACAGGTTTCACATGATGTGGATCCTGTAGTGGGTGGGACTAGGAATTTTCCAGAAGCCGGTGATCAAAAAAAGAAAACATCAGAAAATGGAGTTAGCCCAGCTTCAGCGAAAGTAAGTGATGATGGGACCAGCAGTGTTGCCAAGACTAGTGGAAGCGCCAAGTTGAGTGGTCGAGCTGATTTTGTTGAGAGTGGGAAGAGCAGTATTTGTAGAGGCAGCACAAGCAGCGACATAAGTGACGAAAGTACTTGTAGCAGCTTTAGTAGCGCTATCAACAAACCTCACAAGGCAAATGACATACATTGGGAAGCCATACAGGCTGTCCGATCGAAGGATGGTGTATTTGGTTTGGGCCATTTCAGACTTCTGAAGAAGCTGGGCTGCGGAGATATTGGAAGTGTCTATCTTTCAGAGTTGAGCGGAACAAAATGTTATTTTGCAATGAAAGTTATGGACAAAGCATCTTTGGCTAACCGTAAAAAACTTCTTCGTGCTCAGACAGAGAGAGAAATACTTCAATGTTTAGACCATCCTTTCCTTCCAACCCTATATACCCATTTCGAGACAGAGAAGTATTCATGTCTGGTGATGGAGTTCTGCCCTGGAGGCGACTTGCACACACTTAGGCAGAGACAACCCGGAAAGCATTTCACTGAGCAAGCAGTGAAGTAAGTATTCTCTCGATGCTCGATTATCTTATATAGTTCAAATTTGGACAATGATGTTGTTCTCTATTGTCAGTTTGAGCATGCGTGGTTTATATGGTCATTTATTTTGTTTTGAATTTCTTCTGCCACCCTGCTTCATTGGTTTATTGCTATGTCATTGTTAGGTGCATACCATTAAGATTCATACCGTGGCATAAAAGTTTTTATATCTCTTGTTATTGAATGATCTAAAATTCAATAAAATGCTAAATAAAGCATGACACACATTAAGTCCCTATAACGTAGATTTTAGTTGTTTCTGGGATCTACCTACGCTCAGGCTGATCAAGGGGTGCTTCCTATTGTTGTGCTGCAGACCTTCGGTAACGTAAACCACCAGCTTTTTCTATTAATTGTTGTACAATGAATACAAGCTGCCAAGCATGTTTTTTCTCAGTTACAACTTTCAATCCTGTATCATTTCCTAGCAAAGAAATAATCTCACTCTTTCGTGTGTAATTTGACTTTGACGATCATTTGTGTTACATTTGTCCACCAATATGCAGGTTCTATGTAGCTGAGGTTCTCCTTGCGCTTGAATATCTTCACATGCTTGGGATTGTTTATCGTGACCTCAAGCCAGAAAATGTCCTTGTGAGAGATGATGGGCACATAATGCTTTCTGACTTTGACCTTTCCCTGCGCTGCATTGTCAGCCCAACCCTTGTCAAATCTTCAGCCCCTGATTCTGAACCTTTTCGAAGGAACTCGGCTTATTGTGTGCAACCTGCTTGCATCGAGCCCTCTTGTATTCAGCCATCTTGTGTGGTGCCTACAACATGTTTCTCCCCTCGTTTCTTTTCAAGTAAATCCAAGAAAGACCGGAAACCCAAGAATGAAGTAGGAAACCAAGTACGGCCATTGCCAGAACTTATGGCTGAGCCAACCAATGCTCGCTCAATGTCGTTTGTTGGGACTCATGAGTATTTGGCACCAGAGATTATTAAAGGTGAAGGGCATGGCAGTGCTGTTGATTGGTGGACCTTCGGGATATTTCTGTATGAGCTTCTGTTTGGTAAAACACCTTTCAAGGGATCAGGGAATCGAGCCACCCTGTTCAATGTGGTAGGTCAGCCATTGAGATTCCCGGAAACACCAGTGGTTAGCTTTTCAGCAAGGGATCTGATCAGGGGCCTACTAGTGAAAGAACCACAGCATAGGCTGGCATATAAGCGAGGAGCAACGGAGATTAAACAGCATCCGTTCTTTGAAGGTGTTAATTGGGCTTTGATTCGATGTGCAAGTCCTCCAGATATTCCGAAACCAGTCGAGTTTGAGCGGATTTCAGCCCCCGCAGCGTCAACCGGTGATAAAGCTACTGCTGCTGCTACTCATCCTGATCAAAACAATTATCTGGAATTTGATTTCTTTTAATTATTTTCGGAACTGAAATGCCATTTTCCTTCCTTTTTTTTTTTTTTTTTATTGAGAAAGATGTAGACTTTTCTGAAATGTTGATTATTTATGTGGAATTTAGGGGTTTTTTTTTTTTTTTTATTCAGTGTTGATAGTGATCATATGCTTGGTGTTGTTATGAAACACAGATTTGTATTCCAGCTCAGCCTCAAATGATGAAATGCTGTTTCCAAATGTGGATCCACTTTCTTTCTTTCTTTGATATGATAAGAATAGTAATGAATTATTTTAGCTACGTTCCTTGAAACTCGAATTTTTTTTTTTTTCTATTTTGTTCTATGTAACTTAAAAGTCATTATTTTACTTTTTGAAACTCAAAATTTATTCTACTTTGACTTGTAGACTCTTTTTTTTTTCTTGAAATTTAAAAGTCGCTTTCCAATAACTTATGTGGGACCCACCACACAATAAAATTACACCATATGTGTCAATGAATTTAATTATAAATCTGCACCATATGTTAACATTCAACAATCAGAAAATATTAAGTTTAAAAGAAGAATTAAGGATTGGTACTTTTTCAGGTTGTTGCGCCTGAGTTGCAAATATGAAAATAAATAAATTGATTAGTTTGGTGCATCCACATGACACTAAATTAAGACAATGTGGAGCGAATTTTGAGTTTTATTGAGTAAAATGACTTTTGAGTTTGAGGGGACAAAATGATATCAAAATTGATTTTCAAAGGCAAGTGGAGCGAATTTTGAGTTTTTGGAAGTAAAGTTGCAACTTTTGAGTTACAGAAAACAAAATGAAATTAAAATTAAGTTCTAAGAGGCGTAGCTAAAAATAGGGGTGTGATATCAACACACCCTTTTTTACTTTTCACACACCCTTTTAATTTTCGGCCGTCAGATTGGATGAAATGAAGAAGATCAACGGATAGAAATTAACAAAGGATGTATGAGAAGTAAAAAAAGATGTGTGGATATCACACCTCCTAAAAATAACCCAAGTAATATTGCAGTTAGAATGTTCTGGATGTTGTTTAGCATTTATTAAAACAAATTAACTACTCTTGTTTGTGATAATCTGCCCGAAGTATAGATTGTAGGCTTATACATACCAAGAGTAATAGAAGGTTGAAAATGTTTTTGCACCCGGGTTCTAGCACCGGCTAAAGTTGCCCGCCCTGGTCAATGCAACACTTCTAAGGGACATTCACACCTTGTTTCGGGAGATCAAAACCGACCACATGTTAAATTATTCTAATTTACGAAAAGAAGGAATCAAGCTTGGATGCAAAGAGCCGACCACGTTGTTTGGCTAACTGATGTAACCCACATCTGAGAAAGACCTCCCACATCCTTTGGTTGTAATAGTTTGGGCTTTCAGGAAGTCTCACTTTCAGTAGTATCAATAAGAAAATTCAAAATTCCTATGTGGCTATAATTTCATGAAGAGAATTTTGTAGCATATTCTCTTGCTCGATTATAGCATATACTCATTTAAGAGACGATTGAGGAAGATCAAGTTTTATTTAAAAGTCACATTTGTTGGTAAACTAAAAATGCACATATTTGTATAAAGTTGTGGAGTCTGATAGCATGAGCTTATAACTAATTATGACATTAAAATAATTGATTGTATGTAAAGTAAGTTTATTGAACGAGATTCATTATCGCTTGTATTAAGGTCAATTTAAGCGTGTCCTAGGCCCCTTGTGTTAGTAGGGCAAACTACCCTAATAGTTGGTTAGCAAATTACTTGACAAAGTAGAAAGTTACATATACATTGATAATGTCACAATTTAGTTCTATATTTGTATTCTTTGGGACGGCAAGCCTAGCGCAACGAAAAGGTAATTTTTTTGTGATCGAAAGGTCACAAGTTCAAGTCGTGGAAACAACGTCCCTTAATCTATACAAAGCAAGGCGTCTTGTAAGCTTGGGTCACTTTTTATTTATATTCTTATTCAAATCAGATAATCACATGAACAAGACTTATAACACATTTATGCATATAATTATTATTATCATCAAATTGCCATAAATTTATAATAACGGTGATATTTCGAAGTCACGAGACCAATCATGAAAGAGGAAAAAATTAATATAAAATTAAAATTCTTGGGACCCATGAGAATCGTATAAAAATTGGGTGGGGTGACATTGGTACCACATCTCAAACATGCGAAAGCTTCACACAAATAAGAAAAGAAGTTAACACAATAATTCAAAAACCCACTTAGTATTACAATTTAGTGATATTTCTCTTCGTTGTAAGTGAGAGGTCTTAGGTTTGATTCTTACCAAATACAAATTTGAACCACTTTATTACTAACTCATTGTGAAGCTAAGTCTGCCACCTTCTTTCTTAAAGTAGATAATATCGTTTGTTAATTAAAAAAAAAAAAAACACTTAGACACATGGGAGGAACATTCTTGGAGTTGCCATATTGAGGTTTGTTCCTTTAAATAATTTTGGGATAGGCTACAAAACTCAGCATCAATTCCATGTTGAATCATGCCTCACCATGTGTTTCTTGTTTGGTTGAGATTTAACCAACTCTTCTAAAAGGAAAATTTAGTAATACCTAATGTTATAAGTTTCGTATCACTTTGTTATCTGAAATCTCAATTTGATTATGAGCCTTTAGAGTTTTTAATTTGTTGAAATGCCTTTGCTGTTAATTCTATCAACTATTTCATCAAATTGAGAGTTATTTTGTTCGTTTTGTACCCTATAAACCTTTAAATTTGATTCAAGTGTTTGAGAGTGTATTCAATTAGGATTTTGAGAGATTTTAATTCTTTCTACAAATTTAGGGGTATTTAATCATGATTTTAAGCGATTCTCTGAAAATCTACGTATATTCAATCAGGATTTTAAGAAATTTATAACATTCCGGTGTATTCAATTAAAAATTGATTTTAAAGGAGTTTAAAAAGTTGGTGAATTCAATAGAATTAGAGACATTTAGTAGTGTACTTTAAACATTCTCAAAATCTCACATCTCCTCGTGAGAATTTGAGAAAATTCACTCAAAAATTTACACAAAATATCTAGAAAGCAATTAAACTCCATCAAAATCCACTAATTTATACACCCATATCAAAATCTCTCAAAATTTCAACTGTAGACATTCGATTCCTCTTAATTTCCAACATCATATAATTTCAACTTATTTTATTTTTCAGTATCATTTTTTGTCTTTTTGGATACTTTAAATGTGTCATGTTGTTAACATATATACACCTGAAAATTGGTCATGTGCATTAACGTAAAAGATTGTGACAACATTGACCATTGGAAAAAAATTGCCTCCAACGTGTTGAATCTTACAAACAAATGGATAATAGAGGTTCTGGTCAAAAATAGCAACCTTGATATATAATATATTTATTTTATTTTATTTTATATTTACAAAGCGGTCCAAAGGCAGGCTGCTAGGTGGCAGTATCTTACTGGCTCTACATGTGTGCACATGCAGGATTTCAATAATTACAGAAATACCATAAAATGCAATGACGTGGTAAATTACCAGATGACCCACTACTTTGGACTTTCCTTTCTTAAAGGGGAACGAGGACTAAAGAGTCAACGACTTGTATGCGGTGGGCATAAGCGCGTCTTTGGACTCGTAGATTCAGATCGTATTACCTTCTGATAGGGAAAATTAAAATGTCCCACTTCGTTTCAACAAATTTTTTTATTAAACATTTGATTAAGACGCTTTGACGGGTGGACATCTAAGTATTTTTAAATTTATTTTAATTAGTTTTTTTTTCTAAATGAAAAATGTTATATATGTTGATTTCCCACTTAATGATTTTAGTTAATAGAGGTTTTTTGGCATGTCAGAATCCATGCCCCTTTTTAAGAGATGTTGGATTATTAATGGATATTAACTATTAAATCATCAATATTATCTCTTAATTTTTGAATTTTTAACATTTATTTTTCTATAATAAAACTTCATTGATCACGGAAAAAACTTACATCAGCAGAAAAAATGGAGATAGCAAATCCAACATGATGAAAACACCATAGACGCTACATTTATCTTGTTGAGTTCTAGTTTGATTGCATGGTTGTGTAGTATGCAACAGAAAACAAGTGATTTTAAAATATTGTAGCACAATATAATTTGCATAAAAGTTGTTGACAAAAGGGATTAGTTGGAATGAGATTAATGTCATTCGGCATGAGATATATAAATGTGAATTTTAGATTGAAACCAAATTTAAATATATTAATTTCTAATTTGAATTGTATTCTTGCCATGTTGAAATGTACTAATATGACTTGAAACGTACCGATGCCAAATTGAAATGTACCAATGTTGATAGGATATGTACCCATGCTAACTTGAAACGTACCAACATATCGTCTAGAAATGTACCCATGCCAAACTAAAACGTACCAATGCTAATATGAAATGTACCCATGCCAACTTAAAATGTACCAACACGTTGGCTAGAAACGTACCAATACTAAATGGAAACATACCCCATATCAACTACCACTAGAATCTATTTTCCAAATGTACCATGGTAAGAATACTTAAATCAAGAGGCTTGTATCAAATGAAAATAGAAAGGGAATGAACATGACTCACAAAGGAGGACAAAAGAGTATCGACTGACAGAAAAGAAATGACATGAAAAAATATTAGAATGATCGATAAAGAACATAAATATATATCACGTTAGAAGCATAAATAAATCAAATTTGATATGTTTTTAGATTTTTAAAACATACGTCTACTAGATTCTAGGAGATTTGGATAATTATTAGCTAATTGGTACATTATATATATGGCAAATTGTGTAATTTTGCATTAAAAAAATGCTACTTATAATATATTTGGCACCTAAAATGTAGGAAAATGTCTAATAAAAATTCTAAAAGGTATAGATGTTTAATCTAACAAATAAAACAATAAGACATTTAAATCTAAACGCCCCTTTCTGATATAAAATAATTTGGATTTTACTTTTGACTTTCAAAATAGTCCGAGTTGGACCCTAAGGGTGCATTTGTTGCACCGGACTGTCTCGGACTAGACTAGTTTCATGGACTAAGCTGGACTGGCTTAGAATAGACTAAACTGGACTGATTTAGTAAAACGTTTGTTGTTATGTCGGACTAAAAAGCAGGACTCATATATTATATTATTAAATTTTATATTTACAATATTTTATCATTAATTTATCTATATATACTAATATTTTATTATTAAATTATCATTTTCCTTTCTAGAACCATTTATTTTGGTCAAGCTTTTAATCATCTTCCTCACTCATTTTTTTGTCCGCCCACTGCATCGCTCCCCTCTCCCTTTTCCGTCCAAATCCCTCTCTCTCTTCCCTCTGCCTCTTTTCCAGTCCAACTCTTTGGGTGATAATCTGATTTTGAATGGTCTTGGATTCGAAGATTTTGCAAATCTCTCTCTGCCTCTTCTATTCCTCTCACAAAATCCCTTGCAAATATTAAAATCAAACCAAGGAGCAAGAACGAAAATGAAAATTTAGGAGTTGGAGGCGAGATGCATGCATGAGTGGCTTGAAGGTGGGAGATGCTTTCGGTTTCTCAATTTTTTGGGTTTTTGGCTTTTTTGGGTTTTCTGGGTCTCTGACTTGGAGATCTTATGGACATCTGAGAGGGAGGTGGGGAGAAAGACAGTGGGAGGGCAAGTTCTCAGGCGTGAGGTGAGGCAAAGTGAGGGGAAGCGGGGAAATGGGACTAGCAATCCCCTCCTTTTTGGGGGCTCTCGCTAAGCCCAGCTGACGAAGGATTTAGTCAGCACGAGTCCGACTTAATCCCACTAAACTCAATCCTGGCTTGCACCAAACACAGAATAATAATCCTACCCAAGTAGTCCAGTCCAGTGAAACTGAAGGAGGTCAAACAAACAAACCCTATTTGTGTAAAATCGAGTCCATATTTCTTATGTGCGGGTAACCTGTCCCAGACCGTTTAAGAGTTGTCTTAACACTTGTCATTTTATTATGGGTTCACAATAAAACAAATGATCCATAATTTTATATCTATCTAGCTAAAAAGTAAAACAACGATAAAACTTCTTCAAGCAAAGAGTCTTAAGAGTCCCTTTCTTTCATTCCCGCAGTAAACTAAATGAAAACACATAGAGATTGTCTGATATTTCACATTTTGGCAATTAAACACATATAATAAGGTACTAGACTCCTAATATTGACTATTTAAAAGTTCAAAAACTCATAGCGTGTCATTTGTACACATTTTTTTTTTTTTTTGGAGTGTTTTCCCATATTTGGGTACGAAAGTTAATGAACTTTGTTATTTTGTTATACGATATATGATTGAAAACTGATCCGTCCTAACCCTTAGGAACCAGACCATATCAAATGGATCGAAATTAGCCGATTCCACTAATACAAATACATAAACCCAAACCAGCATGGACTCATTTATAAAAAAAACCAAGTCGAGTTCGCGTAAACTGGCTTGGACTCATTTATAAAAAGCCAAGTCGAGTTTGAATCCATTAAAAATGGACCTGGCTTGACCCGCGTCCACCCTGACTAGTACCCATGTATATGTATTTCAAACTATTTATAGTGTGGTATGAAGTTTGATACCTTCATAGATTTCTAAGCATAGATTGTCTTGGTTTTTTTTTTTTTCAAAACATAAATTATTTTAGTTGTTTAGGTATTTTTTTTCGATTCATTGTGTTTTAAGTTTAAACCATCATCTTAGAATAAAAATATCGCTTGTAATAGAAAAAAATGATATCAATTAAAGATTCAAATCTCAAGATTCAATGCAAATTGATTTTGTCAAATCTAAAGTCTTTATTATGACTTTTCAATTCTTGTATGATTAGATGCCAGATGTAATATTACGTTTCTGTCGGCCTTCGTCCCAGCCTGTGGATGAATGCCAAGCATTACTCCTCTCGGTTTCGGGTTCGAAGGTTGCTGTCCTTTCTGATGGTGAACGTGAAAGGATTATTACGTTTCTAGTTTTACCATTCAAGGGTGAAATTTGTCAACACAATAAATATATTTACTGCAAACATGCCAAGCTTTAACAATTTGCTAAGGGAATTGTTATTGGCACTCCAAAAATCTTATTCTACACTCCAAACTTTCTATATTTGGAAAGAAAAATACACTTACGAGGAGTGTAGAATGAAAATTTTGAAATGCAAATAACACTTCCTTTTGCTAAATGTGCACAAGTTTAATTATAATAATTGCATGTTGTGTCAAAAAGGACAGATGATTACAAGCCAATTGAAAAGTATGAGAATAATCAGGCGAACAAAAAATTAGATAATTCAAACCATTGAAATTGAATTTGACAGTTATCATTAACTTATTTCGTATGTCCACTTCACACAAACAAGGGCTTCGATTTCTCTTTCACAAAAATCAAGGTCTCGGATTTTTTGGTCCTTAAGCTCTAAACTTTTCGGACACTAAGATCTAAAGAGGATCTAAATGCAAATAATTTATATATATATATATATTATGTGGGTGTATATATATCAATTACGTTTAGAAGCATGGCTGTATGAAAGACAAAAGTATTCAAAATAAATCCATTGACTCAAAATCTTCTCTCGAGTTGCAAGTTTCAATTTGAAGAGTTCACAAAGAAAGTTCTTCCAAGGTATGAACTTATCAATCTCTTCGATTCAACTTTAATGTCCCGTTTGAAAATTATTTAGAATTTAGTTTTTGTGTTGTGTTAAAGTTAACAAAAGTATACGAGATGAAAGAGGGACAGAAAACAGTGGAGGGAGGGAGATGAGAGGAGGAGATGAGAGGAAGAGCTGAAAAAAGAAGGGGAATATGTATTAAACAAAAGTTGAAGGAAAATGATTATCGTCAGATCATTTTCTTGGGAATCCTAGGGATCCCATAATCGTGACCGTTTATTATACATCGTGTGGTCAGAAATCATTTTAAATTTTAAAATTAAATATAAATAGTACCTAATGAAAACTAACCACACGATGTGCGATGAACGATCACGATCATAGAATCTCTAAGATCCCCAGAAAAAGGATATGTCCAAACTTGAAAGTGAAACAACTTTATTTTGTTTGCAGTTTTTGGTTTTCAATTTTAAGTCTCCTTCATCATTCTTCATTTTTAGTTTCTCTCATGTTTTTCCCGTTTATCTACGACAAAAACAATGAAAAATAAAACCTAAACAAAATGGTTATAAAACGGGTATCTATTTTCTTATATTTTTAGTTATTTTAAATATTCTAATTTCTATTTCAAGAATGTATCTAATATAATCATTATTTGACAATCAGATATAATTCATGTGAATATATATATTTTATACAATTATCATTTGACCATACATAGTGATTATATGAAATAGGTGCAAGTATTGTAGCCACATCCGTCGAAAAAGGAGAGATGATCTTGCCAAGATGTAAACTTTGTGTGTACACTTTGCTTTGTTAGGATTGTCAAATAGTTAAGTGGCTAGCATGATGCTCAAAAATACAAAAAGTGATGTCAAAAACCTTTGGCCTATCATACCTACTGCCAGAACCAAGTTGTTGGCACCTTGTTACTCATTTGATTCCTCTAGTAGGTCAAATTTATGACAAAGAGATGAAGTTGTTGGGGTGGTATACAAACCCATTTTTGGTTCAAGCTTATCTTTTCTAATATAACACCACCCATTCTTCCCAAGGCACAGAAATTTGTTACCCTCTCACATTTTTGTTTGTACACACACAAATTGTTTAAAATTACTTTTATTTAGAGAAATTAAAGTATCGACTTATGGATTTTAGCTTAATTAAATAAAAATTTGCGAGTGTTGGTTCTTAAGTTCGTCATAATGTGGAGCAACGATTGTTATGGATAACACTATGAGAAGTTTCATCCAAAGTAAAAAAACTTTAAGGGGCAAATAAGATGAAGTTTTTACGAAGTTATCGAAAAGAACTATTGCTCCACACTATGATAAATTTAAAAACTAATTCTCATAAATTTATAGTTCAGGGGCGAAATCCCTAGTTGCATCAACATTCATTGACAAATACTCTAATTTTGTCTTTCATTTATGAATCGAATAATCTAGTATTTTTACACTTAAGTTCAAATCTCAATCAACCTAAATTTGAACCATTTGATTAAGGGTAGTGCTATTCACACATATATTTTTACTTCTCACATACTCTTGTTAATTTTTATTCATTGATCTTGTCAATTCATTCAAACCGACGATTAAAAATTAAGAAAATGCAGAAAATGTAAAAATAAGTATGTGAACATCACCATCCTTTAACAAATGAATCTAAAATTAGAACCATTGGATCAAATGGACAGATTTCATATGGCATCAAAAGAAACAAAAGTCCATAAAAAGCAAATGGGTTGAAAAATGAAGATACCAACAAACCACTCTTGTTGGTTTAAGATGTGGCTTCATTTTATTTATTTCTTTCTATTTTTAACCGCTCATTTTAATTTTGACCAAAAAAGATATTTCAACAAATGCCTTAAAAAAGATCTCAATCATAGTTAAGGTGCTCAGAAATGCACCAGATTTGAAAAAGGACACCCCACTTTTTCTCTCTCTCTCTCCTCTTCCTCTCTCCTCTCTCCTCTCCCCTATCCCCTTCTCCTTTCTCTCAAAGTTCTCTCCACCTTTAAACTTCTCTCTTTCTTTCTCCCTAGATTTTGGTGAATCAGTTTGAGTTTTTTGTAATCTAGAGCACTGCAAAAAGTGAGAGGAGAGAGAGAGAGAAGAGGAGAGAGAATCAGAGTGAAAGCCAACCCAGTTTTGGTTTTTCACAATCTTGTGCCAATTTGAGGCCTTTTTTGTTTAGATCACTGTAAAGAGCAAAATGGGTATTGCCAATCAAGAGGCGGTCAAGCAGTTTCAGAAGTTAATGGAAGAAGGTGAGCTTTTTAAACCCACTTTAAAATCTGCATAATTTTCTCATTTGATCTAATATTTAGCTAATTTTTAATTATTTTTTGCTCTGAATTTACAGTTGACGAGCCACTGAAGAATACATTTGAGGTTAGACCATTCCTTTTCTTTTAGTTTTGCTCGATCTGTTCCGTGTTTGGATACTGGGAAAAAAGATTGAACAAGAAAATGACTTTGGAGTTTTGAAATTTTGTTACTTTAATGCTTTGCGGCGTTAGAGATCAAAACCCATTACTCAGTTTACCACAATTTAGTCGTTTTAGCTTACTGTTTAGGTCATAAGTCAATATTTTGGATGTGATCTGAGTCTCCGATGCCATGCATTTTCGGAGTTTCTGTCTGTTTTTAGGCCGGGTGAATTCATTTGTTAAATCAGATGTTTACCGCGGAAGGTCATCTGCTATGGTGATCCTAATCACTGGTTACTAAGAGAATGCCGGCAGCATATTAATTATTACTTAATCAATCTGATCTTGCTCCTTTTGGGTGGATGAAACTTCATATTCGCTTATAGTGAGAGGAAAGTATTGAGTTTCTATGGAATCTTCATATTGGGTTTTAATAAAGATGGAGTTTTTGTGCAAATATAGCGTCGGGTTTGTGCTCTGAATTGGTGAACCTATTCTGCGGGTGATGAACAATTTAATTGAACTGAACCTTACTGCATCTAATTGGGCATGATGTACTTGTTGCATTTTTTTGGACAATGCATAACGAAATGAAGCCCTTTGTTATGGAAGTATGGGGGGAGGAGGAAGGAGGGGGAGGGGATTACATTGTTCGAGAGAGAGAGAGAGGGGCAAAGGATCCTAACCAGAAAAAAAAAAGGATGAAGAAAAAGAAAGCCAAAGGAAAATCAGAGAGATGGCATTGACCAAGCTAAACTTTCGCAAACTTTTGATAAAATATAGCGTGGTTTTGAGGCTTATTCTTGTTTTGCTTCAAATTCATGAATTGAAGAGGATAATATTGTTCTTTTCTTTTATGATATATGGTTTGCATAAATGATATCTCAAATTCACTTGGCGCCTCTTGATCTACAGAATGTGCACCAGGGGTATCCAAATGAGACATTAATGCGTTTTCTTAAAGCTCGGGACATGAATGTGGGAAAAGCCCATAAAATGGTTAGATTCATTCAGTTTACTAAATAATAGTTATAATGTTTCAGGTTTCAAGATCTCAAGCTGTTCATCTTTTGCTTATAATGCTTTCCTAATAATGCTAAACTGTTCCAGTTGCTCGACTGTTTACAATGGAGGATAGAAAGCGAAATTGACAATATATTGGCGGTGAGTTTTCTCAATGAATAATTAGTAAATAAACATGTTGTCTTGTGACCAGTCACTTGTAGTTCTCTTGAGATTCATGCATTTCAGGCTTAGTTAGTGGCGAGATTTGATACTTTAACCGTGGTGGAAAAGTGAATATACTTAATGTGGTGACAAAGCATTTAATTTGCTATGTACAGAAACCAATCATCCCAAATGATTTGTACAGAGCAGTGCGAGATTCGCAGCTTGTGGGATTGTCAGGTTACTCAAAAAAGGTATCCTGATTTTTTCTTCTTTCGGCTGCAAAACATGATTAGCTTTTGCTCCCTCAGGGTGCATTACTTTTAATTTCAAACTTATTCTTATATCTCATTGTTGTATTGATTTCTTTTTCCAGGGTCTTCCTGTCATTGCTGTTGGTGTGGGGCAAAGCACATTTGACAAAGCTTCTGTAAGGATGATATAATTTGTTCTGTTTAATTTTCTTCAACATAGATATCTTTGTATGTCTGGTTTTGATGTGTAATGATGGAAACCATTATCAAGAAATCATTTAAGTTACGCTGGGGCTTTAAGCTGTTATGTGGGTCGTATCTGTGCTTACACATTAGAATGTATGATCTGTCTGACCTCAGAGAAGGCATTAGAATATATTGGCATAATGTTCTATATTTTGGTGTTACCGAGACTTCCAATGCTAAGAAAATGACTTATTAAGTATACCATGGAGTTTTGAGATATTATAGCATTGGTCATGTATTGACATGCAGATACACAAATTTTCTAAAATAATGAGCTTTATGTGCCAATGTACTTTCTGTTAAAACGTAGTTTGGCACATGTTTGTATGCACTTATGTAATATTATTATTCTTGTAGTGATGCTTACTTGTTTGATTTGTTGTCATTGTAGGTAAATTACTATGTCCAGTCTCACATCCAAATGAATGAGTACAGAGATCGTGTTGTATTGGTGAGTACTTGAGAATGTTTAGTTTTATCTTTCTAATGGGGAATTCTTTTAGGAGCTTGATTTTCCCCCCTTTTTGTTGTAGCCTTCCGCAACAAAGAAGTATGGACAGTATATTGGAACGTGTGTGAAGGTTTTGGATATGACTGGTTTAAGGCTCTCAGCACTTAACCAGATAAAGGTATCTCTTGCTATAGCATGAGCCTCTATTTGTTTGCCTTTTGTTTTTCTTTGATTCTTTTTGTAAGGACCCGTGAGATTGACACTTTGCATGATCTGTTGATGCAGCTTTTGACTGTTGTCTCTACAATTGATGACTTAAACTATCCAGAGAAGACGGATACATACTATATCGTCAATGTCCCATACATATTTTCCGCCTGTTGGAAGGTTTGTATCATAACAACTCACACTTTGAAATAATACGTCGGAAAAAGGGAAAAGGATTTGGTGGGTGTTACACAAGTCCTAATGTAAAGTCTTGACAGGTTGTAAAGCCTCTTTTGCAAGAAAGAACAAGGAGGAAAATCCAGGTTCTTCAAGGTTCTGGGAAAGACGAATTACTGAAAGTAAGCATGTTCTTTGGTTCAACTGTTACCACTGACTTCCTATTCCGTTATTTCTACTTCTTGCTGGCAACTTAATATTGTGTTATATTCTACCCTGTAAACTTTGCAAAGTGTTAAATATCTTGTTCTTTTCCAGCTGCATTTGTTCGTCTATGTTTTGTTTGGTTTCCTTGACGATCACAACCTGACCTGAAAATGTATATGCAGATCATGGACTACGCATCTCTCCCACATTTTTGTAGAAAGGAGGGATCTGGGTCCTCTCGGCATTCTGACAACGGACACACTAACAATTGTTTCTCCTTTGACCATCCATTCCATCAAGAGCTCTACAATTTCGTCAAGCAACAAGCGAGCTTGAGGGAGTCCATTGCACCACTCAAGCAGGGATCCTTCCATGTTAATTTTCCAGAGACGGACCCAGAACGTGCAGACATTGCAAAGACCATAGAATCCGAGTTCCAAAAGTTCGGAAATCAGAATCAAAACGGGCTCGCCAAGTCACTAAGTGGCCTAAGAGTCAATGGTGCTTCATAATTTTATAGCACTTACTTAGCCAACTAGATCCTACATGACAATGTAGCTAAACACTCTTCCTTTGCCATGAGGCAGGAATGTTCTAAAGTTAATTTTATGTATCTGTGTAATGCTTGCATCGACTCGATGCAGATTTTTTAGTACGAACTAATACTAATAGGGCTGTATCGCGGTTTTTGTTAAACTTTGCAAAACCGATTAAAACCCGAGTTATACTAAGATTTTATGATGGGTTATGTACTAGTGATCTAGTATTCTGTTTTGATTTTTCTCCAGTCCAACCTAAAGAAGCAGGTTTTATGAGGGTGTTTTTTTCGTACTTTTCAAAATCGATTGCAAATCGTTAGTGAATATGCAGTAAAGAGTAATATTATAGGCCTCTTGGAACCGGTACATTCATTTTTCTAGGTTATCAATGGTCGAGTTGACCTAACTCAAGTTGCACTCCTACGGATGCATATGAAAATGGGAAAATGAACAAATAATGGTAATAGGGCTCGAGAACATAGCCAAAACAGAGTTTCCTTGGCTTAGAGTTCATTTGGATGTGCTTTTAAAATGATTGAAAGCGCTTTTGGTGAAAATATTTTTGAAAACAATCTTTAATAAAAATGCTAGTAAATCTTGTAAAAGCACTTAAAAGTGCTTTCTGGAATAAGCACATAACTAGTGCTTCTTGTAGAAAGCACTTCAAGTGGTTTTGGAACCCAAAAACACTTTCTCTAAAAGCGTTTTTAGTCATTTTAAATGCACTTCCAAACAAGCCCTTAAACATCTCTGAAACATTCCACAAGGAGGTTTATGGTGCGACCAAAATGCACGAAAATAAGTTTCATGATGGTTTTTAATAAATTTGCAAAACAATGAAACATCGTGACTTATTGCTCGCAGTTTTTGCGGAAGATGCTATTCTCAAGTTTCCCCAAAATCTTTTACGTGCGTGGTTAGGGCAATGTTGAATTCTAATCTGGAAACTAGAAAAATCAACAAAAAGTAGTGGAACTGCTTTGCTTCCAATTGAGATTGATGAGCATCCAAAATACCATACGGAAGATGTTGTCAATATATGGATTGGGTAACAAATTGTTGATATATATGCACAAGTACAAATTATTACCACAACAAAGATAATTCGAGTATCCCGCCCGCCCGCCAGAGTGTTCTTACACATGCACGAACGTATCCAAATCCTTTCCCCTTCTGCAAGCACAATACAGATCCTTCCGTAGGGGCCTCACGGCTAGAACTAGAAGCGAAATCTAAAATTTCGGGGGAAAAAGGGGGTAGACAATAACCTGTAACATGATCAAACAACGCAGATTGGATCCACGGTTTCAGCTCAACTGTTTGCAGCACTTGTAAGCAACGGCAACTGACACAGCGGCACAAACAACAGCTACAGCTGCGTATGTATCTTCACGCTCCCAGCTCTGAAACCATGTTGGCATCGCACAAACCTTGCGCGTGGATGCCCCTTTGCCACTATTCATTCGTGAAAGTGGTTTCCTAGTGCCTTTTTTCTTTTCGGCTGTTGCCTTCACTGCAATCTCATCATTCAGCTCGGGACTATTTATGTTTTCCATTAGCGTAGCATTCTGACAGCAAGAGTTTCCGTTTTCCTGGCAACAGCCCCCAATCTCGACTTGCGATCTACAGACACTAGTATTCATCCCCCTTTCCTTTGGTTGTGTCAACTCTGTAGTGGTTTGTCCCACATCTGTCTCACCATTAAGCTGGAGCCTTCGTTCTTGAGATTCCTTCTGCTGTTCTTCTGATAAACCCATCTGACCCCTGAAACCACACCATAGATTCCCGTCAGTAATCACAGTTACGCAACACATGCACACGGTAGGAACAAAAAATCCTCAAACAAGAAGAGTGACCACTTCATAAAATAATCGGCTACTAATTTTGCGAAGGTTGAACCGACTATTTCCTCAATATTTTCAACCTCCTTTCTCTAGTCAGAATAAAATTGCATAGGTGCAAAAGAGGCCCTTCCTCTAAGATCCAGTTTCATGGCTAAACATTGTTTCAATAATAGAGCAAGCATCGATATGCGAAAATTGCTTCAAAAGCAAGCCTATGGATTATGACAAAAAAATTGAAGATTTAAACAGATTACCTCCATAGCCGGTCTACAATTTCTCCTTTCCCGACATGCTGTTCAAGCAATACATTTACATCTTCTGGAGCAACATATCCATACCTATCAGAAATAAAATGATCAGATATTGCCAACAATTAATCAAGCAATAGAATTGGAAAAGAGCGAAAAATATACCTAAGAGCAATGATAACAGAAAAGAGTACTAAAAGTTATATAAATTAACAGAAAAACAATTCCATTTACCAGTGGCCCGAGACTTCTCTGTTGCAATTTGATCCAAATATGATAACATTTCCAGCATATTTATGCCCCCCAATATGCGAACATGGGCTAACAGACACTTTACCCTGAAGACCATGTAATTCTATCTCTTCTCTAAATCTATTGATCAGGGGAGGTCCACAGACTCCACAACGGCGATCCCGGGACCCATGAGAACATACAAAAACATATGAACCCCTCAGAGTTTCAGGAGTTCCAGGCAGCCATTCACCATCCTTCACAAGAACTTCTTCAACAAATGTATCAACATCAAAATGGGTCAATCTCCTGCATTTTATCATTCAGTTTATGTTAGTATCAAATTTTAAGGGGAATCAATGTATCGAAAGGAAATCCCAATGGAACTTGTAGCTTACCTGTATCGGATCATGTCAGGGAAAATTAATACATCGCCATTTGATGTTTCAGTTCCATCATGTCCTTCACATATTGTTAAGCGGGTCTAGAAGAGGAACGAGATGAAAGAGACAAAAAACAATTGTTAGCCTCAACTAAAAAGTACACCGTTAGAGAAAATAAGAAGTTAAAAAGGAATAAACTGGTAATGACATGGTATTTTAAGCAGCATAGAATGTGCAGCTAATAGATCCAACTTCTGTGAATGGTCAGTAAACACTGCATCCAAGCAAACAGGGCTCGGGTCCTCTCTGGAACTTTCACAGAGGAGACCAATTTGATCGTGGACGTTAGATGCATATCCTATGGCTAGTAATTAATTTATCTTTTTAATGATTTTCACATCAAAAAATCTGTCCCTCTCTTTCTTCTCTCTTCTGAGTCTCCTCTCTCAATTTCACTAGATTTCAGTTTTCTTCTCTCTTTTTTCCATCAAAGAGCTGTAGGAACCATTTCAATTTCACATCAAACAGTCCGCCTCTCTCTCTTCTCTTTCAACACTGCACTGGCAAGTCCGCCATCTTCATGGCTTCCCTTTTAGCAGGCTGCTCCTCAAGCCTCCGAGTGCCGATCATTGCGAGACGGCCCAACCAAAGATCCTCGATCCGAACTATTTTTCTCCTCTTTCTCCCTCCCTTGGTTTAATGGGTTTCACGTCAAATACAAAATCTGACAAATTTCTTCTTTCTCCCTGCAATCTATTGCTTGGCTGTTTGGAAATTTTAATTTCTAGGTTGTTAGGGAGTTTGGAAAATACACAAAAAAGAAGAACATATTAAAAATGTTATTCTTGGTGTATAGGTGTTTTTGGTTAGGTGAATAAAAGAAGTCGGGTTTGGGATGGAGGATGGGGGTAAAGATTGCGTTTTGGGTGTTTAATTTGTTGGATTGATTGATTTTCTGCTTGAGACCAACAACAAAGATGGCTTTATTGAAATTCTGAGATGTGGGAGGCAAGGGGAAGGTGAAAGGTGAAATGCTGAGAAGCAAAATGGGACAGGAGAGAGATGTCATGTGAACGACTTCGCTCTACAGGAAATTTTGAACAAAAAAATTGAAATTAATTTTTGGAAGAGTGAGAAATGGAGAAGAGAAGGTGAAGATTGAGAAAGAGAGAGAGGGTAAAGAAGGCGGTGAATAAGAGAGAGGGAGGCGTTTCGTAAAGAGAAGAAAATAGTTTCAAACTAATCCTGGCCGTTTACTTATTGTTGATCGCTCGCGCTTGAAGGATCCCGAGGATCCCCAGGGAAGGGATCCGGAGAGGATCCTACCCAAGCAAACAAATCAATATCACATCATTCATTCATCAGGCCAGGTAATTTATCTGCTGGTGATTTTCATTTCATTCCATTCAGTATGAAACAAACTACGTAAAAAGACCTATAGCATAAACCTTGTTATACACCAGCTTCCTATATTGTGTTGTACGATGCCATGGGATTAGTCAGTTCACCTTATTTCAAAAATCATATTTTTCACACTATTCCGCATTCCCAAACTAAATCCTACACCCGCAAGTAAACACCGAATACCTCATCAATCAACGTCAAGTTTTGCCATATCCCACCTCCCTTAACAGTTCCCATTTTAGAATTATCCAAATTCTACACAACCGGATTCCGAATTACCCAAAAGAACACCTAAAAGGCTAAAACAGAACCCACTGTACAACACCAAAATATGAAAGGTACCCCCTTCATGTTCAAGCTACACACTAAATCACATGCTTCCAAATCAACCTTAGATTATAAGCAAACCTAACAAGCAGCCAAGATCCATTTCCGCTCGCCACATTCACAAGCAACCGCATTCAACCCGAAAGCGGAAAACTACCAAACCATACAGCCTTAAAACACAAGCAATACACTCCATTGATCAGAATTCATACCCAACCTACTAAATCACACACCTTGAAATCACTACTTAAACAACAAGCAATCCACAAAGTAACCAAAACCCATATAACAAAACGAATTCGAATATGAAAAAAAAACCGAAATAGCACCAAATATCGATCCAATTCATTCCTAAAAAGACTTAGATTTTCACCAAATTAAGCACCAATCACAAAGCAAAAAAAAACAAAAAAGTATACCTCTTTCTTCATATCTCCCCTCCTGGCCATGACGGCGGAGTAGAGCAACCTCGGCAGCCGATCAAACTCGGCGGCCTCGATCCTCGGCGGCCAAACCTGTGGGTTCTTGTAGCACAAAAACACATGCCTTTGGTAAAACTCCACCGTCCCGGCGAGTTGGCTCGTCCGGAACTCGGACCGGGAGAACCCCAACTCGGCGTCGCTGCAGCTTCCGCTGGTGTCGGCGAGGAGACCCTCGTTCTGGAAGCTCCCGGAGGCGCTGCCGATGTGGGAATTGGGGTCGGAGAGGAAGCTTTCGAGCGCGTCGGAGATGACGATTGGGGAGGAGGACGTGGATGGGTTGGTGAATGTGAGTGAGTC